TAACAACAATAGTGTAGGTATACAATAAGCAGTACCTCTGCTTCGCACCACCCCCCTGCAGGTGTTGATCTAAATAATGTAACTGAAGAACCAAGTAATGTTTTTTGGGACATGCTAATAGACAGCCCTATCCAAGCTCAGGGAATGTATTGCTGTAAAGAGGCGTAGAGGTGTGACCAGCCCAGTAACCAGGCACGTGGCAGTTCCAAAGAGATGAGACTGTGCCTTTCAGTGCCGTGGGTTTAATGCTGTTATCTATTGAAAAAGAGGATTCCGGACCATTTTGTCACAGTAGCAGGCCGCTGGGGGTGGGGTGGTCCATGAAACACACCATGGCCAGTGCGTTGTGGTGAGTTTCAGAATAAAAGAGCTTAGCCTCAGCGTGTCATTTCACTTCCTATCCCGTAGAACTAGTGATGTTAACTACACCACATCTCTTTTCTAAATTTAGGCATCATTTTAATTTTCTTGTTCCAGGCAAAGATTACTATGCAAACATTTAAGAGAAAAGCTTTGCCCAAAGTAATTCCCCCTCTCCATCTACCCCCCACCCCAGGCCCGACTTCTCTTTGGCTTCCTGCAATGTTTAGATGACTCATTCTCTTCCAAGACATTTTTTAAGGAAAAAGATGCAGGCTGTGTGGTAGTGCACAAAGGCTGCTCTGTAAGTGCTGTTTCTTCTCTGCCTTGCAGCTCCCTTGCTTTTTCATAGGGAGCAGCGGAAAGTCTCTCATTCTCTATTGTCATGGGCTCCGCCTCATCAGGTTTAGTTGTTCCGGGGGAATAAATGTCCCTCTTGTCTTTGGGCAGAGCCCCTCCAGCTTCCCTCCTCTGTCAACCCTTCTCCTCAGCAGCCAGCACTGAAGCCTTTCCTAGGATACTGGGGCCTTTGCTCTTGCCCAGAGGCACATTGGTTAAGGTTTCTGAATTAGAGAACTGATGACCTTTTATCATCTGAAAGGAGAGGCACTAGCTATTTCTTGCCTCTCTTCCAAATTTGCACCCACTTGCTGGAGGCTTTATCATATGTTTCAAATGAGCTTGCTACATGTGTATCCACTGCACACTCTGTGGGTTACTCTGCTGGAGCAGTAAGTCAGATCAGCAGCCTGTTCAAATAAACACAGATAATAGTGGAGTCTGTCCTCCAACTAATCAGTACACAAAAGGAAACATCTGCCTGGGTTTAATGTTATTTTATGGGTTATGCTCTTTCTACTACAGCCCCCTGCCCCTGACTCTAGCTAAGTTATTTGATTTTTGGGTTAAGGCAACAGGATAGATCAACAGGGAACTTTTTCCTGTCACCTCTGCCATTTAAAAATAAGGTGGTGGCAAGTGTGGATGCATGACTGGCAGGGGAAGCTGGTCTGAAGGCGGAGGGCAGGGCGGTGGGAAGTGATACTCTTGGTCACTTCCTGGCCATGTAGCTGACCCTGGGGCTGGCGTTGAGTCATCTCGCCTCACTTCACCTCCTTGGGCGGCTTCTGCTGCTGTTGTGAAGCTCAGTCTTCCTCACAATGAGAAGGAGAAGCTAGTGTTGAGATCTTAGATAAAAGGCAGTGTATTTTTTTGCATTGGTTGAGGTCATTGGATGGGAGGCATTTGGGGAAGGTCAATTTAAGATTGACAAGGTAATGTATTATCTTCTAGTTTATGATGGCATTTGAATTTAATACAGACCCGAAAAGACAGGCAAAAGATCATGTAGAGCCATAGGATGGTAGAAATTGGAAAAGACCTTAGAAATATTTTAGCCCCTGCCTTCCATTGTATGGAAGGAAAAACAGAGGCATAGAATAATTATAACCAGATTTTCCAAAGATATCCACTTACAGGTGGAGGTGCTGGAAATCTGAGAATCTCCCAGTAGCTAATTCAGGGTTCTCTCTATCCCTTTCCCCACTAACAGTTGCAAAAATCCCTGCCTGTTTATGACAACAGCCACATATATGCCATATTCCATAGTGAATACCTTAGTAGAAATGGGCAGAGAACACCTTAACAGAAGAATGACAAAATGCAAAAGAAAAATTTAAATAGCTGATAAACATGGTTTTTAAAAGAAGTTAAGCTCACTAGAATCAAAGAACCGCAATTAAACAATAAGATAACCATATTCAATTGTCAAGATTTAAAAAAATAATAAAAAGGAGGGGCAGTGTTCACGCTTAATATTTCTGCTGGTGGTATTTTAAATTGATAGTTTTCTTGAATTCATTGGTATAAATGATTAGTCTTTAACCCAGTAGTTGTTCCAGGGAATAAATGTCCCCCTTGTCTTTGGGCAGGGTCCCTAGCAGCTTCCCTTCTCTGCCAACCCCTCCGCAATAGTCAGCATTAAAGCCAGCCCTTCCTGAGACCCGAGGTCATGCTCTCCCCAAAGCTTCCTGAATAACAGAACAGCTGTTATTTCTACAAGGAAATAATGAAAGTTATGTGCGAAGATTATGTACAAAGTAACTTAATGCAGTGTTGCGTTTTTTTATTATAAAAAAGCATAGTAAATGCCCCCAAATGGAAGCTCCATCAATACAATGCATTATAATGTTACAGAAGACCTATGTATGGGGAAATACTCAGAGCAGACACTTTAATGAGAATGTTATAAAACTGTGTGTGTGTTTAATGCAATTCCAATTTTATAAAAATAACGATGACAGAGAAGATAAGAATATATATCAAGTTTTGTAGCGGGATTGAAGAATTACTTTTGGGTTTTTCTTTTTGTGTGTGTGTGGAATGATCTCTTTTTTTTGAGGCTTTTTACAATTTTCATTATAATAAATACAGTGAGAGCTGGAAATTAATGGGGACCGCCTTCTTTTTCCAGTTTCTGTAAGTTTTCCACCTTTGACAGGGTGCAGTTACCACTCTTCTGTTGTTCTCTGTTGGATGGAAAATAGTTATGTGTTCCTTCTCTGATAGGTTTCCCCTCACGGTTCTTTCAGAGGTTTTACCGTATTTCTTTTGTTACATTAAAAAAACAATTATGTGTCTTGAGAAAACAAAATTTTAGTGACTGATATGTAATGCCTCCCTTTTTTTGTTTTTTGACTTCTATAATGCACTGGATTGCAAAGTCAGTTTGAACCTCAAGGTTGGTGGTTCAAGTTCACTAGCCACTCCTTGGAAACCCTATACAGAGTCGCTACTATAGGTTGAAACCGACTCATAGAGACCCTATATAGGGTTTCCAAGGAGTGACTACTGGGCTTGAACCACCAACCTTGTGGTTAGCATCCTAGTGCTTATCCTACAGTGCCACACCAGAATTCTTGTCTTCTATTGTTGTTAGTGCCTTTGAGTTGATTCACTCATAGTGACCCTGTATGGGGTTTTGGAGGAGTAGTCCGTGGGTTTGAATGCAAGGTTCAAATTAACATTGTGGTCCAGTGCAGTATCCTGCAGCACCACACCAGGAGTACTACCTTTTTTTATTATTGATTTAAGTGCCATCGAGTCAGGCCCGGCTCATAGCCATCTTGTATAGGGTTTCTGATGAATTTGGTGAATTTGAACTGCTGACCTTGTGTTCAAGCTGACCTTGTGGTCCAGTGCTTTATCTCACAATGCCACACCAAGACTCTTACCTTCTATTATTGTTGTTATGAACTGCTGTCGAGTTGGTTCTGACCCATAGTAACCCTGTATAGGGTTAACGAGGAGTGACTGGTGAGCTTGAACTACCAACCTTACGTTCAGTTCAAAGGGACTTTACAGTCCAGCACATTAACCCACAGCGTTACACCAGAGTTCCTACATTCTATAGTTGTTGTTCAGTGCTGTCAAGTCAGTTCCGACCCATAGCAACCCTGTATAGGGTTTTCAAGGAGCAACTGGTGAGGTTGAACCACTGACCTTGAGGTTCAAATGACTTTTCAGTCCAGCGCATTAACCTGCAGTGCCTCATCAGGCTCCTGGCTCCTATTGTTGTTGTTGTTAAGATTCGGACAGTAGCGACCCTGTATAGGGTTTCCAAGGAGCAGCTGGTGAGCTTGAACCACCCTCCTTGCAGTTCAAACGACTTTGCAGTCTGACGTATTAGCCCACAGCACCACACCAGGACTCCTATTAGAAGGGTATTATTGGTATCTGAATTCTTAATAGGGAAGAATTAGATGAGCTGGCAGAAGATGAATCAAAGGTTTCCCCTGTCGGTTTTTCAAATAGGACAAGCATTTTCTGATTCAGAAAGTCAGGCATTTCATTTCCCCAGTAATGCCAATCAGTGTTATCCATTGCTTTCTTGGACTTAGCATAAAACCCTCTGTGCAGCAGCCATGACATGTAACCTCCTTCCTGCTTCCTCATTCTCTGTATGTACTGTTCTCGCTATGTAGTGAGATGCCAGTCCTGGACAAGCAGCAACTAAAAATCTTAAGAGTCACTGCCCAGGATTAAGCAGTTAGAGAGGCCCTAATATGTATTATCAGAATTGAGTAACATCAGCTAACCTAGCCTTCTGTCATTATTGAGTTCCCACTTTCTGGGAGTTTAGGGTAGAAATAAAACAAATAAGTGGCGTAGTTTCTCCCTGCTTTGGGTTTCCTATTCTGTTAGGTAGTTGAAGTTCTTCGAGTTGCTATCTGTCTTCCTGTTTTATCCCATTTCATACCTTACCACCCTCCTCAGTCCCCTGAAATGTTTGACTTTCTGTATCAGAAAATGCTTGTCCCTCCTAACTATAGTTGGCTAGATAGGATGTGGCTTTTTCAGCCTTACACTCTGGGGACCATTTGAAAAACCAAAGGCTACAACCCATTCCCCTTCCACGCGATTGCTTTTGCTAAGCTATAGAAGGGGCTCATTTCATTTTATTAAAAGTCTTTGAGCAATCTGACCATGATTGGGTCTGATCTGAGTGGTTATCTGATTTTCTAGGTTCAATAATGGGCCTTAATTGAGTCTGTGTTGTTTGTAGAGCCAGTATTATGGTTCTTGCTTTTGCTGCCCCTCCTTCTGTTTCCCAATTAACCGTCATTCCTCTTTCCTTGCAGAGTAAAGAAGTCGGCCAGCAGCTCCAGGATGACTTGGTGAAGGTCCTGAACGAGCTCTACTCGGTAAATCAGTTAGACTGCGTGACTCTCACAGGCAGAGGGGAGCAGCATTTGGCAGTTTGTGGCCAGAGTCATGTCAACAACACAACTGAGCCCAAGCAGAGGCCTGCGCGTGGTCCCCATTGGGGGTGACCCCACCCAGCTCTTTCTTTTTCGCTTTTTCACACACTCATTTTTAAGCTCAAATGAGCCAAAACATACTTTCCCAAAATAAGATCTCTTCTCAGCTGTGAAGGCTCAGTCTGGCTTCATTTTGGGACACAATCACTAGAGACCAGCTGAGGTCTGTGTCACACAACTCACCCCATCAGTGAGCCAGGGACCCCGAATCTAATGGCAGTGAATATCACCTACCTTGTATCTTTGATACACATGCCTGTCGATAAGGATTTGTTGTTCAAGGTTTTGCATCAGGTCTTGGATTGATCTACCAATCTAAGGCTAGAGCCATTTCTAGAAGGAAACAGAACCCTATATGCCCCCAATATCAAGGGCTAGTTCAGGCAGAGAGAGCATTGCTCCCACTCCCTGGGGTTTTACAAAGGCCAAACCTCAGTGAAGAGGCAGGCTGCCGGCCAGGAGAAGAGAACACAGTGTATTTTGAATTGACTTCAGACACGTGATGCCTGTGGTTGATACGTGTTTTTTCGTGCACTGGGAGGTGGTGGCGGTAGTTTTGTTTTTCCCTTAGCCGTGTTTCATCAATTACAAGTAACAGACAATCAAAGCACGCTCACACTCTCTCTCAAACACACATACACACCAAGGAAATGCTGGCTGCTGTGTCAGGAAGATTTCAGTTGTACAGCCACAACCTTCCTGGGGCTCCTTCTTGAGCTGGGTTGTGCCAGCCCTTTGTGTCATTCTTCAGGGTTGCTCCATCCTGTTCTGGAGATGAAATTGCTTTCCCGTGTTGACTTAACTGATTCGCTGCAAAAATTTTTTTATTTTTAAAAAAGTTTAATTCACAAGACTAACAGGCAGTGGTGACATGCATCACAGGCATTTGGGATCAGAGAATTCCATGTTCTTGATCCAAATGTCTAGGTGTGGCCCTTTTGTCATGGCAACTGTTAAGCAAGTAAATATGGCAGTGTAGTCATCTGACTTGTCTCCAGTGATGATCTGCTTGTTTTGAATTTCTACCCTGTGGACTTTTCTGTTCTGAAGCCAAGTAGATAGATGGTGCCCCTTGGTTTAGCTCCCATGTTTTCATTTCTCTTAACTGAAGCTAAGACATTTTAAAAATAGAAACACATTACTGAGAACCATTTTTAGACTGGTTGAGTTTCCTGAACCCTTCACTTTTTCATGCTTGACTTCTGCTTTTTAATTTTAGAGCCTCTTCCAGGCATCAGGAAGAGCTATTGCTCCTTTCTCCTGACAAAGGATTCATTAAGATAGAAAATGACATTGTATGAATCCTTTTCCCTAAAATGCCTTACCCACTGCCATTGAATTGACTCATAGTGATCCAATAGGACAGGGTAGAGCTACTCCATAGGGTTTCTGAGGTTGTAAATCTTCACAAAAGTCTGCCTCATTTCTCTCCCGCTGAGCAGCTGGGGGGGTTTGAACCACCGACCTTTCAGTGAACAACCCAGTGCTTAACTCACTGCCCCTACGTGGCCTCCTTAAATGCCTTGAGCCCTTGCTCTTTGCATCTGTTTCTGGGGAGGAATACGTTGGATAATCAGCAAACCCCAAACCAACTCAAATCCAGCATGCCACTTCTGCAGCAGGACTTTAGGCAATGGAGGAAGAATAATAGCTGGGCTTCTGTTGGCTTTTTCCCAGAATCCTAGATTTCCTAGTCTGCTGTCATTAAAAAAGAAAGAAAGAGTATCATTTGTGTCGGAGTGTGGAAAAATACTGTGTACCTTGCTGCTCTCGGTTAACCAGCTGCTGTTCAGCCACTGTAAGGTTAGTTGTTGCACACTTCAAGTCTCCCCACTTGTATTCAAACTGAGAATTGCCTGGGCATGGCATCTTCTACTATGAGGTGAACTGGTTGCAAATTTTTATACTCTGTCCAAGACCAAAATATAAATGAATAATTGAAAGAATGAATGATATTTTCTTCTAGAGGCCAATGGAAATGAGAAAAAGTAGAGACTACTGTAAAGTTTAGGAGTCCTGGTGTGGCACTGTAGGATAAACACTTGACTTCAAGGTCCTTTTGAACCTGAAGGTTGGCAGTTCAAACCCACCATCTGCTCCTTGGAAACCCTGTTCAGGGTCGCTATGCGTCAGAACCAATGTGTGGGAATTAAACAGCAGCAGTGGAACATTTTAGAGATGGTAGAACAGTGGTGCAGTGGTTCTCCTGCAGGGTGATTTCTCTGCAGGGAAACATAGGACATTTGACAATGTGTGGCTAATTGCCACAATTTAGCATCGAATAGGCAGAGGCCAGAGATGCTGTTAAAATCCTACAGTGCACAGGACAGACTCACCCACCCCCACAACAAAAAAGTATCAAGCCCAAACTAGTAGTGCCAAGATTGAGAAACTCTGGTCTACTAGTGACTGTTGTTGTTGTTGTCAAGTGCTGTCTAGTTGATTCCAACTCATAACAACCCTGTTATATAGAGTTTTCAAGCAGCTGATGGGTTTGCGCTTCTGATCTTGTGGTTCAAACCAACCTTGTGGTCCAGTGCGTTATCCTGCAGTGCCACACCAGAACTCTGGTCTAGGGACTTTGTTGTTGTTGTTAGGTGACATCGAGTCAGTACCAACCTTATGCATAGCAGAACGAAACACTGCCCGATCCTGAGCCAACCTCACTACTGTTGCCACACTTGAGTCCATCAGTGCTGCCACTTGGTCAATCCATCTCGTTGGGGGATCTTCCTCTTTTTCTCTGACCTTCCACCTTACTAAACATGATATCCTTCTCCAGTAACTGGTCCCTCCTGACAATATGTCTGAAGTATGAGACAAAGTTTGGCCATCTTGGCCTCCAACGAGCACTCTGGCTGCACTTCTTCCAAAATGGATCTATTGGTTCTTTTGGCAGCCCGTGACACTTTCAATATTCTCCTCCAACACCATAACTCAAAAGCATCAATTCTTCTACAGTCTTCCTTATTCACTGTCCAGTTTTCGCATGCATATGAGGTTATTGAAAATACCATGGCTTGGGTCAGGCACACCTTAGTCCTCAAGCTGACATCTTTGCTCTTCAACACTTTAAAAAGGTCTTGTGCAGCAGATAGAGGTTCCTAAATTAAGCAACCTAGATTTTACCCAGTTTTGACCACTAGCTGCGTAATTTGGAGGGATGCCCCAAGACTCTGTGACGCTGGTATCTCAAATCTTCCATGTACAGCTATATCTACCCTGAGGACTAGGGTAGTTGAGGGAGTCATACTTCCGGAAATATCAGATATAGTTAGGAGTCAAATGAGCTTCTAAATACTATAGACCATTAGAAAGTTCAGAGAATAAATTGTATCTTTTGGAGGGCAAGGTAAATTTAGGACCGGTCTGAATAGGCCCCAGTGAATCCGGGTACTTAGTCACTCTGGGACTAGGGTGACTAAGTATTCCAATTCACTGGGGACTGAAGGGTTTCCGAGGACACAAGACTTTCAGGGCTGAAACTGGGAAAGTCCTGGGTAAACCACAATTCGTCACCCTACGTGAATAGTGGTTTCATCAAGTAGGCGAACGCTGTCTGCTGTCTTTGGAGAATTACAAGCTGTGTCCATTCCCACTCAAGGAGTTAGAAGAGCGTTTCAGGAAGTCAAGAAAGGGAGACTGTGCCTCTCCTTTCAGTGACTGTGGGGCAGTAGAGGTTATTTGTGGGCACTGGAAAAGGGAACCAACCCATGGGTAGAAGAAACCCCACCATATGTTTCAGTGCTCCGCTTACTTCACATATACCCTTCATGCCCACGAATACTTCTTTTGGGGATCCTGATTACCCCAGGGCTGGTAGTTTAAATACTTTTCAACCTTGATAATTTAAAAGGCAGGGTCCAGGTGTTACCACACAAAGAGACCTTTGGCAAGAGGCCCAGTCTTCTGCCCTAAGTGGCCAGCTGCCCCCTCAGCACCTTCCTCCTTTCCCTGAAGGACTTTCATTTCCCTGACTTGGCATTCTGTGCCAGGGGCCACTTCCCACAGCTGCCATTCAGAGAGCAATCCCAGTGAGCATTCTTTCCCATGTTTTTTTAACCCTGTCATGAGCTGGTGGGTTTGTAGGCCATTGCATATGTGATTTTCATCTTCTGACTGATGCTCTAGGAATGACTGGATGAAAGAGAGCTCGGAAAGTCTCTGCCTTAGTTGTGCTCAGAGACTATATGTAAAATAGCCCATCAGCTGCTGGAAGGAGTACACATAGAGGGGCTGAAATCAAATGAATTGGTTGAGTATGAAGAGTCCAGAAGTTCTAGAATTGAAAGAGAAAGATGTTGAGGCAGTCTAGGATTGTTGTTGCCCCATAGGTGTCATGCTTTCATAGGCAGACAGATACATGGATACACGTACAGACATACATATTCATACATACGTTCGTAGCTGTTGCTGAGTCAAGTCTGACTGGTGGCAGCCTATATACAACAGACCAAAATGCTGCCCAGTCCTGTGGTACCCTCACAATGACCAGCATGTTCAAGTCCATTGTTACACATGTTGAGCCAATCCAGGTCCTTTAGGGTTTCCCTTACCCTCTCCAGCCTTAATCAAACATTATTTTTCCTTCAGTGATTGATCCTTCCTGATGATGTATCCAACACAAGTGAGTCAGACCATGTTCTGTCATGATCCATAGGGTTTCCACTGGCTGATTTGTAAAAGTTAGATCACCAGGCCTTTCTTCCTAGCCTGTCTTAATCTGGAACCTGAAACATGATCCTGCTGATATTTTAAATATCAATGGCAGAGCTTCCAACATCACCGGCAGTGCATAAGCCACTACAGCACAGCAAACTGACAGGCAGGTGGTGATAGGCTTTTGTACTCCCCCTGAACATACTCCTGTGTCCCCTGACTTA